GACCTATGGCCGGTGAGGAGAAACTGAAAAGCCAAAACAAAGGTGGGTGGGGGGGGGGGGGGGGTGGGGGGGGGGGGGGGGGGGGTGGGGGGGGGTGGGGGGGGGGTGGGGGGGGGTGGGGGGGGGGTGGGGGGGGGTGGGGGGGGGGGGGGGGGGGGGGGGGGTGGGGGGGGGGGGGGGGGTTGGGGGGGTTGGGGGGGGTGGGGGGGGGGTTGGGCGAAGGGGGGGGAGGGTGTCAGATTCTAAAGCTGGACCCCAGCTGCCCTGTCCGCTTTCAGATCCCGGTCGCCACGGAGGGGTACCCATTCCAGGCAAAAAAGGGGGCCGTGCCTGTTCTGACAACCTAGACACCCTCGGCCCGAGGCCTCGGCGGATAATAAGGGTCCCCATTCAGGGCCGATATCAAGGGACCATGTAACTGCCCCAAGGCCCTAAGACAGGACTCGCGGAGGAATGCGGAAGAGGAGGTGCCTCCGATGCTTGCAACGAAGCATGTGGCTGACCAGCCTCCATGCCAACGCCAGCTTTCATTGTCGCGTCCCAGAGAGCCAATGAGTGCGTTAGATGTTGACACGTGCTTCGTCTTCAACGCAGGCGGCAAAGGATTCCAAGTCAAGTTCAAGGACGCTTCGTTTGCATGAGTACTGTCCTGTCGTTGCGGCCGTGAAAGAAGCTCGTCATGCCCTTTTCCAGCTAGAGGGTGCGTGGCTGACATGACTTCGCGGGCTTGCAGGACTACGGAACGAGGCACGACCGTGTTTGCTTTGCCGGTGGTTTGATTCATGACGATGCGGTATAAGGAGTATATCTTCAGGGGGCACCGTTTCAGCTGTCTGATGGGAGGCCCCGTCAAGATTTCTGACTCGATTGCGTCAATCTGTACACAGCTAGCGGTGCATGGCAAGTTGTGTAATGCTCGCAGCTTCAGAATGATCGCCAACACTGGTGTGGAATCCGGTCGCACGGGCTTATCTCCGCCGATGTCAAGAAACCACAAAACCCTTCCGTGAGAACGATGACGGAAAAATCATAAGCCGCGTTCGCGAAACAGCCAGGGCCCACATCCTACGATCATCCAACAATGGGCCCCTGACCCGATCGTAAACACACTGGCCGGGGGTTGGGTTTGGGTTTTGTTAGGGCTGAGGGGGTTAGGGTTCCGGGCTCTTTCATGATTTGTCCCGTGCTTCGCGATCAGGGTCCCAGTGTTTTCCGATCACGGCCCTCCTTTGTCAGCCTCCATTGTTTTGACGAATGTTTGTTTCGATGTTATCTGGTGCGGCGGCAGTAGCGTCACCGAGATCCTGCAAAGCACGGCAACAAGTGCAGCTGATTACGGTCAGCCGAAGACCCATGCTCAAGAGGTCACAGGGTGGCAGGACATGTCCTGTTAAGTGCCAGCCTAATGGAACATGCCGTTTCCTCTGGGATTATCAGGAGTCACAGGTCCAACTCCGTCCTATGCTAGGGAAGACGCACGCTTGGAATTCCAAAGTTGCCAACTTTCAAAGCTGCTTTGCAGGAGCAGCACCGTTTATCCGGACTAAGTCGGACTACTACAAGAGCCGTTTGACAAGAAGCTCTGTGCGTGTTAGAGGCCGGTGCACTTACTAACGGATGTAGCAGCGAGCCTTGATGAGGGCTCATTCCCGCTTGCATAGCTGCCAGATGGTGACTGCTACATATCGCCATCAGAAGCTGCGAAGAGCTCCGATCTTGACCGGCTTCAGCAAGGAGCATCCCTTCACCTTGCTGTTTCTCTGAGGCCGCGAGCGACGCGAAGGCATGCAGTATGCAGCCAGGGCCCAATTGGGAGGGCCAATTTTTTTTTGTGTGTGTGTGTGTGTTTTTTTTTTTTTTTTTGGGGGGGGGGGGTTTTTTTTTTTTTTTTTTTGTCGATTTTCTTGGGAAAACCTCCATTTCCTCTATATGTTCATAGGATTTGGTCCATTTTCTTTGTTCTTCCTAGGAAACCTCCATTCCAACTATATTTTAATAGGAAAGCGTTCCCTTCCGTTGGTTAGAAGAAGAGAGAAAGAGAGGGGAGAGCCAGCAAGGGGACCCATTTTTTTTTGGACCTTTGTTTTTTTTGGCCTTCTTGTTTCTTGGCTCTGTTTTGTCGCAGAAACAGAGTGAAACTTGTATTGTCTTCAGTTTTCTCTTCAGTTTCGTATCAAGACCTTTGTTTTCCGCGAATTTCCAGAGACACAGAGCAAGAAATAAAGGAAGGAAGGAAAGAAGCCCCCCAGCTGTTTTTAAGCCGCAAGTCTGCCAAACCCATGATGCGAGCGTTGTGTTTGCAAGTGGGGGGGGGGGCTGCCCCCCCCCCCCCCCCCCACCCCCCTGCTTGGGCTGCGCCCCCCCCCCTCCCCAACCCCCCCGCTTTTTTTAAGCCCCCCTAAACCCCAAGCCCTAAACCCTCATAAACCCTAATCAGCCCTAATAAACCAAATAAACCCAAATAAACCCTAAACCCCAAACCCCAAACCCCAAACCCCAAACCCCAAACCCCAAACCCCAAACCCTAAATCCTAAACCCTAAACCCTAAACCCTAAACCATAAACCCTAAACCCTAAACCCTAAACCCTAAACCCTAAACCCTAAGCCTAAACCCTAAAACCTAAACTGCGAAACATAGTGTGCTGGCTGCAGGTACGCTGGCTGCACGATTATCACCTCGGCTGCATTAGTTCTGTTGGTTGTTGTTGCTGGTACGCTGGCTGCATGATTATCACCTTGGCTGCATTGAGATAGTAGTTCTGTCGGCGTGGTTGACTGCTGAAGCTATATATGCTTTCGCTTTTGGTCCGAACGAGGCCTTGAGCTGAAACCCACTGACAAGAAAAGAACAAAGGAAAGTTCTCTCTCGGCTGTGCTCTACAGTGCGTTTGCAGAACAACTGTGGATGAGAGTAATCCACCAAGTAGGTTTGCAAGTTTCACATAGCGCTGAACCCTAAACCCTAAACCCTGGCCCTAAACCCTAAACCCTAAACCCTAAACCCTAAACCCTAAACCCTAAACCCTAAACCCTAAGCCCTAAGCCCTAAGCCCTAAGCCCTAAGCCCTAAGCCCTAAGCCCTAAGCCCTAAGCCCTAAGCCCTAAGCCCTAAGCCCTAAGCCCTAAGCCCTAAGCCCTAAGCCCTAAGCCCTAAGCCCTAAGCCCTAAGCCTTAAGCCCTAAGCCCTAAGCCCTAAGCCCTAAGCCCTAAGCCCTAAGCCCTAAGCCCTAAGCCCTAAGCCCTAAGCCCTAAGCCCTAAGCCCTAAGCCCTAAACCCTAAACCCTAAACCCTAACCCCTAAACCGTGAGACGGCGGTTTCGAGGTTAGGTTCACATCTTAGTACTGATTTCCAGGGCCTTTTGTACCACCGCGTAACATGACCCACAAATCCCCCTTTCTCTCGCTTGACCGTGAAGAAACCGCCCTAATAGTAGAAAACGCGTGAATAAAATGAACGCACGGGTCTTGGGGCTCATTCACTAAATTCATGCACAAGTTTATAAATCAGTTCACTCACTGTGTTCATTAGCTTATTATTACGGGCGGTTATTAGTTTATTATATTCACGCCCGTATATTCACTTCCCTTTTCTCTCGTTCTATTAAGGGTGCACACGGGCGTCTACATAATAATAACTAGCTCGTGTAAACCAATCTCATAAAGACAACTTACGACATCTCCCTCGATTACCAGGATTCTTTGTTACCTTTAGGATTCTCTCCACACACTACGTTCATAATTTCGCTTATTTTCGCGCGGCTCTTTCGTTTCTTGCAAAATTGCGCTCATTTGATTCACTTCGTAATAATATAATAATACGTGCGGGCTAATGCTAATATTATATGTGCCCGCAGAATACAATATTATGATAATAATTCCGGGGCATTAAGTAGTATTATTATTAGCCCCGGTCGTTCCTAATATTATTATTATTATTCACGCGTCCTTTTAGTCCTTGTAATCACAATAATATTATTCTCTTCGCCTTTTAAAAGAAGCCCAAGAACTATTCTTTGAGGTCAGTTGTCAAAGTCTTCCAGAAGGTTAATGGTGGATAGAGTGAATAACCGGCCCATGGAACGCCCACAAGCTAGTTTTCCCGCCCTTTGTTCAATCCTACTAGACAATTCGGAGAAACGTTTTGGCCGTAGTACGGTGCCTTGAAAGATCTTGAGTTGAATCGAAGTGCCTCCTCAAGCCATCTCAAGCCCTGCTGATTTAAGCCGCAAAAGCTTGCGAGCAAGATTTCTAAGAATTCCTACGAAAAGTAGTTTGAATCCTATGAAAATACAGTGCGAACGGAGGTTTTCCTAGAAACCAAGAAAATGGACCAATTCCGATGAAAATATAGAGGGAGTGGAGGTTTTCCATAAAAAGCCACGAAAATCGACCAAAAAACCAAACAAGACCCCCAAAAAACCACCTGCTTAATTCAATTGCCATCCAGTTCTTGCCTCCACGCACCAAACTTCGCCACTAAACCTAGGATACGATGGGGTGGTAGTGGGTGGGCATCACGCAAAAAGCGGGCAAAAATGCAATCCTCTGTGGGGACTTGTAGGACAGCACCTCCACCAGCCCTTCTGCGGCTGTTCTTGACAGTCCGTCACTTAGGGAGCCATGCCTGCTGAAGTACACCATGAAGCCCACAGCTCTTGCGGTTCGTGTTGTGTGTGTGTGTGTGCGGTTGGATTCGAACGCGAGGCCCGCCTCCGAAAAATGTCCAAGGGCCCGGAGCTCTGCGCACAATTTGCAGTTTTCCGCATTGGTTTGTTGCGAGTTCCCGCGAGGGGTCCGGATAGCCAGCCGGCCACTGCTTCGGCCGGTCATCGACTCAGCAAACAAGTTCTAGTAGCTCACCAAGTTCTAGCGCAGAGCCGAGAGTGGCTCGAAGGACAGTATCCTGCAGCAGGGTCGTTGATCTGAGCGTCGCTGATCCGAATCGTCCACTCAAGCAGATTCTGTCGGCTCGAAGCTTTCGTTTATGTTGTCGTGCTCATGAAGCGATCCCTGTTGCGCGCTGCAGCAGAACCACTGAAGCTCTACCAGCACCCTGACATGCCAAAGTTAGGGCTCCTGGTTTCAGCAAGATCAAGCTGAGCCCAGGTATGCTATTTGTCCTTTTTGCAACAAGACAAAGGCGCGGCAGCACCCGATTGTTCCAGACGGCTCGCGGTGTTTCTTTCGATTGTATGAGTTAAACGATATTGGTCATGGTCATCATGTGTAATGTTGGAACATTCATACTCGTGCTCTTTTGCCGTGCCCGGAACTAGCAGTTTCTAGACTGGCACATGAGACGACCGCACATTGTGCTGGCACGCGCCGCGCACGCAAGGGGGATCAAGGGGGGGCAAGGGTGGGCGGCAGTGCAACAAAGTGGACTGGTGAACCTTCCATGTGGGTGGCCAGTGAACATTCGGAGGTGAAGTCTTGTGAGAGTCCAACGAGCAGCTGTCGTGAGGTGAACCCTGGATTGGAACGAGTTCTGAAGGAGGGACTTCCGTGATACTGTAATGTTCCCCGAACCCGAACCCTTAAACCCCTAAACCCTCATCAAACCCACCCGCCAAATCCCTACAAATTCCAAAGACGCCCCCAGAAACGCCGCAACAACTATACCCCAATCCAGTAAGCCTTTTTCTTTGGATGGCAGGCAGCCCTGGACTTCCTGAAAGTGCCCTACGCATCGGTGGAGGTAGACCCGCTGACGCGATCACAGATCAAGTTCTCGAAGGCCCAAGGGCCTTCACAGACCAAAGGATCATTTGGGTTTGGGGTTCAGAGTGTTATGTTTTTTGCATAAGGTTGTGGTGGGATGTGCTTGCTCATGCAAGTGCCAGGACTACAAGAAAGTGCCGATCGCGGTGCTCTCTGGCGGGTCCGTGGTGGGTGGCTCCACTGAGATCGTGGATGCCGTCCTCCAGTCTGAGGCAAGGTCTTTCGATTTTTTGAAAACCTGCGCCCTCAGCCCTCAACCCTCAACCCTCGAGCCTCAACACTCGTTCACCGTAGACTTTGTCAATGGAAGCCTCCTCAGAGCAGCATCCACATCAAACGAAATCACTCTACTTTATGGTTAGTGTTCTTAGAAAGTTAGTTATTCTGACTCTTCTTGTTGTTGTTCTGATAGTTGCCATAAGTTCTTGGTGTTGCTCACATCATGAACATGTTGTTGCCTTGTTTTGTTTTGGTTGTCATAAGCTATTACTCTTTCTCTAAAAGATCCCAAAACCCAAAAACCCAAATTGTTTAACTTTTGATTTTTGCCCCTTGTTTGCAGGCATCCGCGCCTCAGGCTGCTGGTGTGGATGAGCCTCGCTGCAGGGCTTAGTGGGGTTTAGGGTGTCTGGTAGGGTTTCGGACTAGGATGTGTTTTTTTGTTGGTATTGGCGTGTTGGGTCTGAGTCCCCTGCAATGCTTGCACTACCATGCCAAGGCACAGCACTTCCTGAGCGATGAGGCCTGAGCACGGCAACGGTTCAAGTGATGGGTACGGAGGGTGTCCCTCAGAAACCTTCAAGCATGCCAGTGCACCCGCAGCAAGAAGCAGACCACAATTGAGCCATATTAGGGTCCTGACAGCAAGAAGCATTCCCCACACCACAGCCGCAAGAACGGAGAGAGCAGCACCCTCTGCTTGCAGGCCGGCACCTGCAGCAAGAACTGCAACGAAGAGAATTTCTTAACCGCGCCCCCTAACACGGTCGGCCTTCATCCAGAAGCGCGAATCCCCCGCAGGCGCGCCACTGGAACAAATGGTGTGATGTGCCTTGCCCGAACTCCATATTTTGGCCTCTGTTGTCAGCTGTAGTTTTGGATTATGTTTGATTCCTCATGCCATCATCTGGATCGCACTGCGGAGCTCAGGAGAAGTTTGCTGTGTGCGTCTACCCAAACATCACTCGCAGCGTCTCCGAATGCTGGCAGGCTGAGTGCCGAATGATGCAACACACCAGAGAAGTCAAAGATGCAAGGATGCGAAACAAGTATATTCGACAATGATGTCGGTTCAGACACCATGGGCACCTGCATCGTCCAGTTCTTCTGACGGCAAGCATCGACTGTGAGTTGTGGAGGCCCTGGGATACCTGCAGCGGTGTCCGGAATTTTCGATGCCACGAGCTTTGGCGACCCGAGCGCTGGGAGCCGTAGGCCGGGACGAAAGGATGTTGGGGCTGTGGAGGACCAGTCCGAGTCCGGATCTGTCGGTTCCCCCACGTGATCCTGTGAAGTTCTGAGGCGAGAGTTTATTCCCGGCTTTTCCAAAACCCCGCACGAGGCATGGCAGCCGCCCATGGAAAGATCAAGAAGTTGCTGGCTTGATGTTCAGACGTGTGCAGTGTGGCCAACGCAGGTCGGTGTAGTGTTGGACCTGCGTAGACTTGCCTGGAACTGGTCATGGGGTCTCGGTCAACGTATGCCGATGATGCAAGGAAATACAACATGGATGACGAGCGCGGAGCACTCTTCACTGCTGTAGATGCCAGTCTCTCAGCATCCGAAGAAGGCTCCCTCAGCCTCCCAACAGCCTTACTAACCGAAAACCCTCAACGCCCCAGGCCTGGACCGCCGAGGTGGGTACCAAGGAGTTCCGAGGCCAGGTTCAACATAGCTTAACACTGTTTACAATGTTTAACAAAGCTGAACAATGTTTAACATGTTCAAGATTTTTCTTCTTTTGCCTTGCAAAAACAGCCACTTTGCAATTTTGCAAGACGGCGCAGGTGGAGAGAAGCCTGATCTGTCGGACTTGGCAGTGTTCGGATGTATTCGCGGTATCTCCGACCTTCCGCTGTATTCAGAGATGACACAGCACAAGGACGGTTTTAACCAGACTGTTTCTCTCTCTTGGACTTGCGTTGCCCCTGCAAGGCCCCTCTCCCCTTGAGGCCTGTAGGTTTTGCTGCACATTGCTTGCAGGAATTTGGGCCTTGGTTCAACCGAGTTGCCGATGCTTTGAAAGCAAAGCTTGCAGAATGAGAATATACAGCAGTACAGTAGTATAGGATCCGTCGAAACTTCGGGTAGGGTCACCCGATGCCACCATTTGCACTCCAAAGAAGGGATGTGCATGGTTGCAATGGCACAACAGGTGTCATGCTTTAAATATACCTTTCTGCTCATGTCCTAAAAAAATAAGAGTCCGGATTCTGGCTTCACGCAGCTGCTGTTCGATCTTTCTACTGATGTGTCAGCACTTCCTGTGGTAGATATGGACGCGGCTGTCCGACAGTGCAGAAAATGGTCGCGTGAACGGTGTCAAGTTTTCTCCACGCCACTGAGTCCCTGGCCCAGCTGTGCCGCCACCCCCAAGGCTCGAGGTATGCTCTGAATCCTGTAAGTCTTCTGTGTTGGCTCTTTTTCTCTTAACGTTGCTCTACTACTCAACTCAAGGATTTCAGCCATCTTGTCGAGGCAGTCTGCAGTGAGCTGACGTTTCACCGTCCGCGACTGGTATCGCAAGGGCAAAGAGTTGCAGCCGGGATGACGTTTGGATCTGGTTTCAGGGCTTGGCCCACTCTACGTAGGGCCGATGTCGTGCCAGCTGGGATATCATTTCCGACATGCTTTAAAATTAGCCGACCCGCAGACTTTTTCAAAGGGTGGGGAGGTCGCACGCCGCCACAGTCTAGGCGGAGATTGTCACTTGGCAGCACGGAGCTGGTAAAACGTACCCAACCCTGCAAGCTTGAAAAAAACCTACAATCAGTAACTCAGCCAAGCGTCAAGTCATCGGTACACACAGCGGCTTCAGTTGCCACATTTCACGCGACCATACCAGTAGCGTTTGAGGATGTTGAGGTTTGGGATCGACGGTTTCTGCGAGATTAGAAGCACCTTTGTTATTGCCGCGTTAAATCTGGCCAGAAGCGCTTCCCGGCCTTTCAGTTGAATGTATGGTGTGGGGCAGGGAGGGCCACTCAAACCTGGAGCGGAGTTTTTGCGAAGCTGCAGTACACTGCAGAACGAGTCCACGTCCCACCCCTCCAAACTAAGCTGCTTCCACCCAGGAAGCAGCCAATTTCGAGCTCCTGGGCACACGCAAGCTCAAAAGGTATCATCCATTTCGGAACAAATTCCCCGCACTGACCAATTTTGGCGTCGTCAGCGGCATTGGGAAGATGACTCGGAACATCCTGAAGATGTGAGATATTTATCAATGTGACAGGCCCTGTGTCGCATCTCCACTCCAAGTCGAGGCCACAATGGTCTGCCGAATGCGCACTCGAGGCCGCGCACTTCTTGTCCGCGCCCTGGAGGGGCTTGCGCTGACAGTTTTGCCGACTCCTAGGGGGGGTGGGGAACTTGCGCGTTAATCAGCCACAGGCATGCAGGTTTGCACCCAGGGTTAGGCAGAGTCTAGCTGCTAGCTTTGCACGCGCCAGGTTCTGGCTGTCTTGGCGGTTTGCAGATGGTGCAAGGCGCTAGACTTTGTTTGCGGTCGGCGTCTCGGAAGTTTGATGCCTTTGTGTCTCTTGGAAGAGCCAGCTGACAGCTGTCACATGCGAATATCATAGTCTTTCGTTTCTGGCTGCTGTTGCACTCAGTGTGCACAAGCTCCGTGACAGTTCGGAGGTCCTCCGCCAAGATCACTGGGCCCCAGCCAGACAGTTCAGAGGAGGTAAGGGTTGTGTACAGCCCAGAACGTACCGAATGCTTCCGGAATGTACACATTGCTACTTTTCCCTGTATGCACAGGGCGAGTGCTGCTGCAAGTGGCAGTGAGCCATCCAGCACCACCACTGAGGACAAGGCCTCCGTGATGCAGATGTGGGTTAATATTGGCCAGATGCAGACCACCAAGCCTGTAGCAGAGACGGAGAGACAGGGAGAGACACGGAGAGACACAAAGAGAGACGCGTAGAGAGACACGGAGACGCACAGAGACACACGGAGACACACATAGAGACACAGAGAGAGAGACACACATAGAGACACAGAGAGAGAGACACACACACACACACACAAGCAACACAGACATACAGAGAGACAAACAGAGACACACAGAGAGCACAGAGAACACAGAGAACACAGAGAACACAGAGAACACAGAGACACACAGGGACAGAGAGAGAGAGAGAGAGACACACACACACAGACACACACACACACAGACACAAAGAGACACACAGAGAGACACATGGAGACACACACAGAGAGACACAGAGAGAGACACACAGAGAGACACACGACAGACGCAGAGAGAGACACACAGAGACAGAGAGAGAGACACAGAGAGACACACAGAGAGACACACAGAGAGACACACAGAGAGACACACAGAGAGACACACAGAGAGACGCACAAAGAGACACACAGAGAAACACACAGCGAGACACACAGAGAAACGCACAGACGCACAGACGCACAGACGCACAGACGCACAGATGCACAGACGCACAGACTCGCAGAGGCGCAGAAGCGCAGACGCACAGACGCGCAGACGAGCAGACGCAGACGCGGAGACACGGACAGAAACGCACACACACACACACACAGACACGCACACGGACACAGAGACACGGACAGAGGCACACGCACACACACACACACACACACACACATCCACACACATCCACACACATCCACACACATCCACACACATCCACACACATCCACACACATCCACACACATCCACACACATCCACACACATCCACACACACCCACACACACCCACACACACCCACACACACCCACACACACCCACACAC